TCGAAATGTAACGTTTGCTTCTAAGGTTGGCAGAGCCGCCTCCTGCGATAACCCTTGTTGGGGATCAGTTAGGAGTCATTCAGAAATTTAGCTACCTAGGCACTTGTACCGACATCTTTAGAATAGGAGGTTTTGAAACATATAGCAAAAGCTCTATGTGCTTTTGGCAATTCCCGCTACTTGTGACCTCGGCGCGATATCACTGTCTTCCTGAAGGGTAGATATATATTGCAACCGTCTGTTCAGCCATTTTGTAGTGTTGCGCGTCATGACCCACCAGGTCGTCAGACGTAAGGAAGTTTGTTACGTTAGACCATCGCTACCATCGCAGGTTAGCTAACGTGTGGTGGGAACATCACGTGAACAATGAACGTGTGAGGGATCGCGTATTTGTTGCAAGAAGAGCAAGTGAACCAAGCTGGACCGTTATTTCATGCACCAGGCTCGGATGGTTGCGCCGCGTGTTTCACACGTCAGCACACCGACTCGCGCGGCGTGCGTTTTTTGTGCGCCCGGGAGTGTGGATGGAGGAAGCGCAGGGGGGCCAAACCATTATCTGGTCAAGAGGAATGAAAACGGTCACTTCGAACTTGGTGTCGGTTGGTGTTTCCCGACTGCCGGGCTAAACTCCGAAGGACTACGAACACGTTTGGTTGGATACACTTGTTGACATGGCGAACAGCTAACCTCAGTGACGTTTGTGTTGTGAATTCCTTTGTCCCTCCACAACCCGCTTACCTTCTCCCTCCAACCACAATCTCAAAGCGGATGCGTAACATGATTTGAAGCGTTATATAACTTGTTTTTGGTTTTTAACTTTATTAACCTGAGGTACGTTCTAAAGTGGGTGCAGAAGATGGGGCATACCATAAATTTTGTAGAATCGGAATTGCCCTTCCCAAAGACGTGGCGTTTTTGAGTAGTCAAATCAAGTCAAAAATGCGCTTTATGCAACCAGCGAAGGGTGACTATTCAGTTGTTTCCTTCAGTCTCTTCAATTGGAATGGACGAAATTCTGTCCGCACATACCATGACATCAGCTGGTGTCACAGTTGCAGTAGCAAGTGGAGATATTTAGTTGGCGTTTACTGAATTGTCACTCCCATACAAATTACGTTTTCGGCGCTCAGCTGAAGGCTTTATCAGACGAGTGTATAGCCTACAGTCAACTGGCTTGATGAAACTTTGTCAAGTACATAGGTGACAAATATCGCCGTACTCACTAAATGTACACCCAAACACTAGTGGGAATTCATCAGTTTCAATTCAATTTCGATTCAAGGAAGAGCTTTATGAACCCGGACGTTGGATATTCAGCTGTTACGCACACTCCTTCAGCATTGTAAACAGAATAGACAAATAATCTTAAACAGCAAAGACAGTAATGCCGTTATTATGTAACTTTTATTGTAAGCTCCGTAACAACTGAGGTCTGGTTGCACAAAAAGCGCGCCAAATATGGAATTACGGATGAGTGGTAAGCCCGTGTAAGGGAATAAATGGATCTATACCTTTGTCTGGTTGAGGAAGTTGATATAAACCTAGCCAATTCATCATAAAGGAGATCAATTGCATCAGCGAATATTTTTGAAGCAAGTCTTTTGCATGAACTGGAATGAGTAGACACAATAATGTCAACCGAGGTCGGCTGTTGAATACCGCTACATCGAGACAGTTGCATCAAGGACCTATCTAGGATTTTGAAATGCTTCTTTAGGAAACCGGGGATTGTCTCAGGGAAGCAATAAGTCCAGTGAGATAAGACACAAGCGGCGATAAATCGTGGTATTAGATAGCGGAGGACAGAGGAGGATCGCAAATGAGCAGCCTAAAAGGAAAGTCTCCTCATTTTTGTAAATGCTTCATTCACATGGAGTGACCATGATAGATCACGGCTGAGTGTAACACCTAGATACTTCACAGACTCGGTGGAACGCAACCGCTCACCATCCATGTGAACTTCAAGTCGATCCACTAGAAGTTTCTGATAACGACGGTCAGTGAGAAGGGAAAAAAGAACGTCTCTGCATTTTAATGCATTTAACGATATAAAGTGAGCTCTGGACCATAATGCAAATTTGTCCAGGTAGGCTTGTTGCTTGACTGAAGAGGCTGAGATCAGATGCTGGATATGTAAGACAACCTCATTTGCATAGTTCAGCGAGATCACTTCGTCAGGAGCGGGTAATGAAGCGACATAAGTGGCACAAGTTATGATGACAATATGGCTCCTTGAAGAACCGCAGTGAATCTGGTGAGTAGCGAGGCGATTTTACCCCCAAGTAGAGTAAACTGGGTACGTCCAGAGAAATAATCCCTCAGCAGGTGGACAATAGAAGGTTGGATTCTGATACCGCATGTTAGGCGCACTTAGCATATAATTTCACCGTGTTTCCTGCCGCTCTCAAAATTGACAAATAAGAGGGATTCTAAAAGAACTATGTTTGAGTTCACGCTTATAGTTTGCTTGCGGATCCAATTCGAATAATTGTTCGAACAGTAAAAGTATATCGGCTTAGTAGTAGCCTGTTTTAGGAGTTATCGCCTTCTTGACATTTAAGCCTGTATGCAACTGGATTTACTTTGGCCAATGTTCGTAATTATCAATGGCACTTTCTGCACTCTGTCTCGTGGCACCTTCGTGAAAAACTTCCATTGTCAAGATGACCTGTCACCAAGCATATGGACTGAGCAAACGACGCATCTGCAAATGTGCCGTACAGGCGTCACATCTTACTTTCGTCTAACGGAAACGAGTGTTTCGTTGGAGTCGTGTGAAATGCGAATTTCCAAACTGTCCAGCATATGGCGGTTGTCTGCAATTTTGGGATGGCGAACAAGAATGACAATGTGACACACCTAGAGGTAAGAACAATCCTGGCAGATTCGCTATTAGGCTCAAACATGTACATCCGTTTGTATTGGATTAGAGTAAGGCGTTTTTGTGGTAATCATAAGCGCAATAATTCAAGCGCTGCATAGCACATGCTATCTCCGCGGGTTATTTGAAATACCACCACAAGCGCCAAGAATACGACTCGCATCAGAAGCGTAGCATAGGGGAGCGGGGGCGGTCCGTCCTGGGTGTCATGTGACAGGGGCGGCATTTTTAGTACCGTCGACTGTTCGATGCCAGTTATAAAGCGCAAGGTATCCAGATAAGGTGAGGGTTGAAGATTTGCTGTTAATCTGTGTGATCAACACCCCTGTTGCGCCATGTGACACAACGGTGCACACTTTTTGCCAGAAATCCTCTTACTTTCCTCGGTGTCCCAAACGGTCGTCCATTTCATCGAAAACTAGTGTGCACTTTATCCTGAGCCGATTGTGTGACGTTCGCGCGCCAAGTCTGCCTTCAGTCAATGCGACAATTTTGCCACCGCCCCGGGCGGCAAAAGTAGTTGCTACGCCATGGACTCACATACAAGGATGGGAAATCATATGTGGTTACATACTTGCCAACCTAATGATCTGGCATATATCAGCGAGTTAACTGTTCGTAACCGCTACTACCACAGCCGAAGTGGTAACACCGTAAAGAAAGGCGTGCTTCGGCAGATTCATCGCTACATCGATTACAACTTGCCAGCTTAGCGGCGGCATAAAAAGACTGGGGTTCGGAAGTGTGTAAAACGAGAAACAGTGACACATAACTCAAATAGTGTATAGCAAAGCCCTGCCTACTCAGCCGCACACTCCGTGGGCGGAACGCTCATGTATGCCTGACAGATGAAATCACCATCCATAAGCGCTATCTGGATCACTAGCCCTACACTATCCAGTCACCCTTTGAGCTTGAAGCTACTGGTGAGAAGTTATCACCAGCATTCAATCAGTGCATAGTGGCGTTCCGATGTAGTCCACAAACTGGCTCTCAGATAGTAAACAAACAAACCTTCACAATTAAGCTGAAATCTGGACTGCGACTAATCTCAAATATTCCTCAGCCGTTATGTGTCTGGTAGACAGGCTTTGGCTTACACTGCAGTGTTGGGTGCATACTTCGGATTGCGTTTTCCACATGAGTACCGGATTGAAACATATTTCAAGTCCATGGTTGGCGGCATCCGGTTTCGGATTTGCCTGTCACTGTGGCAAGCCACAGGACGCCTGCGCCTACAGAGGGACCATGGATGGCTTGCGCTGCACCACCCACAGCTCCAACCACATACCCCATATCCAGTGTAAACCCGAAGGAATAAGACCGGGAGGCATGCGGATGGGAACCACGTTTCATCAACGGAGCCGGCCCACACTCCTTCACAGGCAAACACAAGCACGCTGTATTTGGGAAATCAAGCGCACACAATGCGGTGGCTGGACCGTAGTCCGCTCCACACTGAGTGCATGGAACCACTATTTGAGCCTAGCACGGCCACAAGAACCGTGCACCCCGTCCTCTCCAGCAACGACCAACTGTCTCCTGGAGCCAGTATGAACGATGTAGTGGGTAATCGACAGGTAGGCACCTTGTCAACATACACATCAAGCGCAACCACACCGGGGATATCAAACAACAGCCATTCACTTTAAACGACAAGTTGAAATAAAATAAATCCAATAATGCATACAGATACGGTGGCATAACTCTTCGCTAGATTACCATATGAAGTAAGTTGGTTAGCAACAACTCCGAGATAAGTAAGAAATGTCCACAAGTTACTTAAAATGCTACAAACGCAACAAAATTACCGAAGATAAGCGCAGTTAGTGCAAGCAACGTGGCCAGTTAATAGAACATTATTCAGGGAGGCAGAACAAACCAAATAAAGCGGAGTGAAATTTATCCAGCTTAAAGAGACCTAGTTTAAGTGTAAGTTGGTTTAGCCCAACTGCGGTGAAGAAGCATCAAGAATGCAACATCAGCCTCAGCATGGGGCAAGTCCATACTTGCTTCTAAACCACATGGCTGCCTGTTAATGTAAGTGTTTACTTGATTGGCTACATCTATTTCATTCTTCGGCTAAACTTCCATTGCAGAGTACTGCTGTTTTTTCTAGGTCATTCCGACTCTTGGGGCAGAGGCCACCCAGAAATCATGACACAGTGTTTCGACGGAGGAAAGCCAGACGGCAGCTATGGCCCAATCAACCCAACCACACCTCATACATATGAGTTTCTGCTCAGTTTTCTCAAAGAAATCGTGCAGGTGTTCCCTGACGAGCTGGTGCATCTGGGTGGTGACGAAGTGGATTTCAGCTGCTGGTAAGCACAGAAAAACCTGCTGTCGAACATAACATCTCGTTAGAATACTGCTACATCCACTAGCATTGTATACAGTTTGTTCCCATAGAGAATTGTATTTGAAACCGTTTCATAAGAAACTTAAAATGACCAACCACAGATCACGATGCAGATGCATCGCCCACCACGGTATGTATACGACTCAGTCTTAGTGATCGATTACACGCACTTTAGCAGTTATCAAACCTCGAAATTACTGTTAGCCCCCTCTACGGAGGATTTCTTTATAAGTCCCTATCTCTATCGGTTACACACATTCGCAGCGACGGGCAGTGCCAGCAATACACACCGCCTAAGACCACCTGTTCCACACCGGGTTTTCCTTTTGCACAGAATAAGTAATCACTGAGCCACAATTTGCAACAGTTCGTCATATCCTGTTCGCAGTAACAAAAATTTTAAGGAGTGGAGTAAGAATGTAATAGATAATGAATAATGATTTATAACGGTTAAAAGCAAAGAGCCTAACACTCACGCAGTCGACCGGAAGGAGTGTCACAATATCAAAAGTTCAAGTCAAAAACGGGAACATTCAGATTTTAGGTGAATCGACGAGCAATGCGCTCAAACAGAAATGCAGGTTCTCTCACTGCTTGGTTACGACGGCTTTTGTGATTATATTGTTTCCTCCGCGTTAATTAATCTTCAGATTAAAACGGACTATACTGCCTACTGCACATAGGATAGAGTTTCGTCAAGTCCTCTTTGAAAGGGTTTAATATAGAGGCAAGTTTGTGCGTTCCGTGTTCTGGATACCAGAGAGGAGAAACACGTCTGTCGGCTATCAGGTCGACCATGGTGCGTGGCAAGTTGGGGCTGCCTAATTCTCATGTTATTATTGCGACTAAGTTCCAATAGACTGCGAAAAGCGTAGTTGGGGTTCGCCAGTGTTAGGTAAAACATTCTTTGATCTCGCAAACACCGATATTCACCCCAGTACAAGCCAAAGGCCTGCGGTATGATTTAGTAAGATGAAACAAATCCATTACGATTTCGGCTGCTAAATTTCTGGAGTTCAAACACATCAAAATCGTCGACTCACATCAGGTGGAGACAGCAGGCTTTGAACCCGCGATTATTGGAATAGTAGTAGAAACATTAACCCTTAGGCTACCGGGTCACGATGGGCAATGGGTAACACAACGGTTAACAACCAATTGCAGGGCATTTTTGATTCCACTTCAAAGAGACTTCCGGTCCACATTGAGATTGCGCGTCGCAATCTAATCCCACCAAGTGCAATCCAAAATGGCCCTCCAATTAGTCAGTAACCGTTATGTCAAGTGTTGCCCGTCGTAACGCGGTAGCCAAAGGGGTAGAGGTTTCGGCTACTATTCCAATAGTCGCGAGTTCAACGGCTGTTATCTCTGTCTGATGCGATAAAATGACATCAAAACGCGTCGTGGTTGTGCATTGTTTTCGAGCGGCAACATCTACTTTCCACCTGCTTGGGCTACGGTCCCAGTGCCGTCAGTGACCAAGGTTCTCTTCAAAGTGAATGGCGGTCCACATTGAAATTGCGCGTAACAATCTAATCATACACCGTGAAAACCAAAATGGCCCTCCAACATCGATATTTTGTTTGATCAGGGAAGCCAGGACTAGATGGCTTTTCCACATGTGGCCTCGGCTGACCGTTTAGCATTACCCAAATCATGCTTCGAACGCCTTCCGTAGGAGGTCAAGTTGTTAGCTAACTCTCATTTTTCCCCTTTTTCCTTCTGCTTCGAACACAGAAGGTTCTCCTGTCTAATTACTCTTGCGATCAATTCCCTGGAAAGAATCATGCAATGGTTTCTCAAGTAGATATTCGCGGACACAGTGATGTCGTATGGACTAAATGTTTTACTTAGCCACATTTAACTATCGAACTTTCTGGAATGACCCATTCTGTACCCACCGAGATCACTTAATTTGCAGGCGGTCTTCTGTTGCCTTCATATCATACTAGAAGTTAAAATCGCCTGAGAATATGAGGAAATTCCGCTGAAGTACTCTGGCAAGTTCGTCTACTTAGATAAGTTGTACGGGATCCCAGTACCGGTACTCGCAGTCATCGTCATTACCGTTGTGAACAAAAGTGCATCTGTCATTTGAACCGATGTTTCGCTGCCATACAACCATAATGAGCTACGGAACGTAGAATAATAACAGGAGAAAATGGGGACTTACCGGAAAACCTTAATGCCTCAACAAACACTCGGCGACAAGGCGCCTACACCTTGTCCACAACATATCATCGCAAACAGCTAGCTTTCGTACAAAGATAAGGTGGCATCGGCGAGACAACTTCCTTGCGGCTTTCACTGTCCCGCCTCATAATCAGCATTTATCCCGCGAGTAACTCAGCAACAAACACAGTTTAAACAGGCAACCCAATTAGGAGACGAGAGCAGACACGCAGCTGGTATGGAGAGCGATCCATGTTCTGTAATGTCTCAAGGCAAGCACAAGGCGGGTCATATGGACTCCAGCCTTGAAGGCAAGTCGGACCAATGACACCTAGTTTGGTCGTCAGGGGTTTCATTTACCGCTGTCAAGTCAAATTTTGTCTACCTCAGACCTTGCGCCACCCTACATCTGTCAGACATAACAACGCGCTCCTAGGTAAGCGGTGGCCAGACATACGTAATACGTGCCCATGCCAACGTGACTTATTCAGTACTATCTGTTGTCCTAAGGAACTAGCAATAGTATCAATACCTAACACTCGAGTGCGCCCATCATCCTTGCGGACACGCTGGTGCCACCAGACAGCAGCAATGTTCCGCAGGCAGCGATGATCACAGACTTGAAGGCGCCTCAGGTCTTCAGACCGAAAAAGGCCAAGTCTCACTTTCACACAGTAGGACGACCCTCACCTTGGCCCGGTAAACACGATCTTTCAGGCCGAAGGAAACCCATTCCTGATGCTACAGATGTCACAGATTAAAAAAGGCAGTTCTGGCTTTCGTAATACTTGAACTGACTTCAGTTGTTATGCCTCAGTCGTTGCTGATGCAGCTGCCAAGGTAAGTGAATTGCTCAACCACCTCGAGTTCCTAGTTATCAATGGTCAAGGGGTCATCAAGTGGCTGGTGGTCCTGGAGCAACAATTTGCACTTTGAAGGTGCAAAGTGCATACCAAATAATCGGACCATTCTAGCGGTTATTATGCCTCATCATATTTAAACAGCTAGACACTATCACTCGCATAACCATCAACTAGCCGTTCGCCAGACAGCACGTCAGCATCTGAATCGTGAGGCTCCGCAAGTGAACGCTGCACGATGGAGTCCACGACGAACTTGAAAAAAATGGGGAATCAGACAACCCTGACGAACACCACTTGTTGTCAGGAAGATATCCGTTAAGTCACTGCAGACCCCATCACGGCCTGTCGTGTCCTAGAGTGCGTAGAATGTTCACATATGTTATCGGGACACCTTACCGCGCAAATTTTTGAACTGAATGCATCTATCGACCTAGTTGATCACAATCTTGAAGTCTAGGAACACAACTATGGTCGGTCTAGCACCTGCCGCAGAGTGAACACGTGGTCTATACAGCTTTTCCAGCGCGGAAATTTGCTTGTTCTTCCCTACTCTGGGATTCCCGTTCCATAGTAGGGCGACGAACGAGAATTGAGGCAACCAATTTGTTCCAACTGGCGTTAGTCTAAATACCCTTGTGGGACTACCGTTCTGGTGTATAGCCATTAGAATCAATTCACCCCAGTTAGCCAGGTCAGACTCTTACTTGCAAAAATGTTCGAACATCGATGTCAGTGCTTTGTAGAGAGCCCGACCATCATACTTAAATGGTGCAGGGGCGAGGGAATCCGGCTCAGCTACAGGAAGACGACTGAGGGCTGCGATCGCGTTTCGGACCTCGACATCTGATGGACCGTCTAAACTAACCGTCCATGGCTCAGCCTGCAACACCTGAGTAGGAAGTGGTTCGGAAGCAAGGAGACAACTGAACTGCTCCGGGAAGTACTCCGTCAACGAGCCATTGGGCGCTCCTTATTGTGCATCAATGCACCCATGCTGTCTCTGATTGCCTCACTGACGCCTGGTTTCCTGAAACCAGTGCGGCGGATCAGCTGGAGCAGCTTGCGATAATTGGGACTTGGATTACACTACACCGGACTTAAATATGATCAAAAATGTAACTACTGACTCTCACATTCTGTAGCTCGAATTGTGTGTCCAGAAAAGATTCACACACGCCGTACGTGATTTGGCCCAAACGAACTGTCATGTCCGAACCAAAAAAGTGCGCACGTGCTACAACTGCTACTTAGTGGACAGTGATTGACAGTGAGCATTGATTGTAAACAGAGTGTTTTATCGGTCCTTGAACTGTGTCCAATTTTTGCTCTCTTTTGCGTATAAGTTTGCAAATCTGAGGAAGAATTACTGAAAACATGTGTTTGCGTTATAACATTGAATTTTCAGCTGAAAAGTGGTTATAAAAGTGACCATTCCGTCTTTGCGCACTGTAAGAACCCGTATATCACACGGACAAAGTTGCAAGAACCGGCTAACGGTTCGACAATAAGCATGTTGACTGTCTTTAATGCCTTCCGTTTAATGTCGTCCACACCGGAACAGCGATGCATGCGCAAATACAGTAGCCGTGTCATCACATTCACTGCAGCGAAGGATACGTGATTTAACCCTGGGGACGGTGGGCACTGTAAAGCACGGATTAACTGTTGCCTAAATGTGTTGGGTACCTGTTACCTCGTTGGCACCGGACAAACTGCTCCACGTAGAACTGGAATTCCGCGCTGCACATGGCGTCACAAACAGCTGCCCATCGTGTAGATAAGGAGACGTCGGCGAGCAGCTTCCAGACAGCTTTTAACTACCCGCATCATAATCGACAATTACCTCGCCAAAAATCTCAGCTCCAAACACACTTTAAACAAACAATCCGACTACGAGACGACAGCAGAAGCGCCACTGGTGTCGGCT